CCGCAGCTGGAAACTTTTACCAAACCGGTTTCCACCAAGGCTGGGACGCTAATGATCCTTGCAGTTACTGATGTCGACATTGATGCCAACAGTTGTTATTATGACATCCATGCACGTGACGTGGTGATCAGGACCACGGGAACCGCCGCGGGGAGCTGAGACGCGCCCGGCGGTACCACTGGTGAACCCAGTACCGTGCAGGGAGTTTCCCATGAAATGTTCCAGTCTGTCGCTAGACGGCTTCTTGGGGTTTACTAGATGTGGCAAGAGCATGTTGGATTCTGACCGCAAAACGTCAGTCAAGCTTGTGACCCATACGAACGTGAAGCTGTGCAAGTGCAGGGAGCTTCAGGCCCTGGGTCAGATCACGTCTTGCCACTCAGCACACCTCTACGGTCAGCAACGGCAAAATGGCAGTGTCTGCTGTCTGTCTGGCAGTAGGTTAGGCTGTCAACGCCCATTACAGTTGCAGATCTTATTACATTTATGTGTTCTATGGTAAATTTATTTTATTGTAAATGCAAACGGAAAGGTTGCTTCGTTCGGCATTAACGATATGGTCTTATGTATGAAATGTTTTGGCTTTGACGTGTACCGACCACGCGCAAGCAGCGTCGTTCTCAGTAGTAGAATTATTGGTTTTCAACTTAGCTCGAAATACGATAGCCCGTCTCCCGTCATACCAAGGTTTCCAAATTGATAACGTGACTTCTGCTTCCAACTGTATGCAGCGTATCACTTTGGCCAAACGTTTACAAACTGTATGAGCGTACATTACAATATGCCGTTTACGAGTCTCATGCTGTCTGACTTAATTCGTTCCCTCCAACAGGCCATATGTTAATAAAATACCACTGGGGAGCCCGGGCAATCGTGAAGCAGGGGGTGGAGGGGGTTAGGGAGTGGAGGGGGAGGGGGTTAGGGAGTGGAGGACTTTGTCCGCCCTTAACATATGAAACATTTTGGAGAGGATAAAATATATTTATTACCACATACACCGAGCGTTCTCCTGGCACGCACAGTTTTATCCACTCCACTCATCCACGTCAACCTAGTTTCCGTAAGTTGCATATGCTTCTCAATACGTTCTACACTGTGAAGGGAGGGGTCCACGATTTGGGAGGGATTTTGCCCGATTGGGGAGGTATGTGCCTTCCCAGTTAACAGGCAAAGTATGGCCTGTCCACCAAGAACCAACCTGGCGTCGGTGCATCAGGTTGCGGCAGGTTTGGACGCCGATGCCTCGGGCGCGGGGTGGTGGAGGCCAAGCCGTCACTCTGGCTGGGTGAGGCCGGGGCCAGGGCCGGAGCCGGGGCCGGGCCCGGGGCCGGGGCCGGGGCCGGGGCCGGGGCCGGGGCCGGGGCCGGGCGCTGGCGCGGCCGCTCCCGTGACTGGCTCCCCGGCGCTTGTTCCGGGAATGCCAGATGATGGTGGACGACCGGCTGCAGCGGTTCTCAAACCAGCCGCCGTCGCACGAGTTGTCTGCCACAGGCGACTCGCCGAAACTGGGAGGTTGTGAGGCACCGCTGGATAGGAAGTGGCCTACCAGCGTTTCCCGGTCATATGATAAGCAATGTTAAGTCCCTGATCATGTGACGCCCAGCCGCACTGTGCTATTCACACATTCGCTGCACTAAGCACACATTCGATTTGGGTGATTAGCATTTGCGTAGCGCGCTTTGTGAAGGTTTTAGCACATCTTGTTAATTGCGCCTCGCCTAAGTTTCAATAAGGGTTGGCCAACACCGATAAGTGTTCTGCTTCAATAGCAAGGAGAGAACTGCATGGTCGTTGTGTAGTTTGGCCATACAGAGCATAGGCATCGCCATGTGCCATTAACTGGTTATGCAGTGAGTAATGTTTATATGCGTTTCCCATTTGTTTGGCCTGTTTTGCGTCCGCCACACAGCAGGACCTGCGCCACGAGCTTGTCGGTGGGTGAACAGACACATGTCGTGAGGCCTTCCACCGGGCGGGTGGACAAACGCATGTCATGGGGCCCTCCACCGAGTGGGTAGACGAACGCATGTCGCGGGGGCCCTCCGCCGGGCGGGTGGGCAAACACATGTCGTGGGGCCCTCCGCCGGGTTGGAGGCCTCTGCGAGTCAAAGCGACCCATTACACAACGGATAATCAAACGCAACATGCCACAGCAGTTCTACTTTTGGGACGCACTTTATCATTTTACGGAGCGCAGGGTAGGCCGACGACCTTTTTGGATGGTGATATTACAGTTATCATGGTTGGCCTCCGCAGTGAAAGGGTTTCCCAGGCTACAGAAGTGCTCTGTAGTGCGACACTTTAAAGTGTTCTGTAGTGCGACACTTTTAAGTGCTCTGTAGCGCGACACTTTTATGAAGTGCTGTGTAGTGCGACACTTAATCATGAATATATTTCGTAGGAACACTGACGGGGACTAAGTTAAGAGGTATACTGAGATGGTTCAGTATGTTTTCTCATGAACAAGTTCATATGTCAGTTATCAAAAGCACAGTTGAACAGTGTTGTTTTTGTAAATGAGTGTGAAACCTAAATCACACGTTGGTGATATCCTAAGATTCCAGTACAACGCTGGCCGTCCTGTCACAGGCTTCTTAAAGAACTGTGAGTCGAGGAAAATTCCAACAATTGGACCGATCCAGGGACAAACTAAATATCTTTTATCGTGTTTTGAGATTGAGGTATGTCTTATGCTGTGTAATATTTACGCTAAGTCCAACAAAATGCAACTTTTACTCTTTTTGAACCACAGAGCCGATCTTTTTCCATGACAGTACTTTCTCGTCAGCGCGGCAGGAAAGCATTGGTACTTGGGAAAGCGTTGCAAGAATCCGGTCACCATTTACCCTAAGATATGGAGATTACGAGTCCTCCAAGTGAAAAGCAAGTGCACCGTAGCGAGGCATAGTCATGCGATCCACTTTGTTTCCTGCTGGCAGATTGCTGTCCGTACACAGCTGGTGGGTCCATCTCCAGCTCAGAGAGGGCGGCGCCGATCCACTGGGGCTTAGAGCATAGCGAACACACTGTCATGTAGCTAGTGTATCCTAAACAGGTGGTAGGATCAGCGCTGGCTTGTCACCGTCCCCGTCCTATGCAAAGTTGCTCTAGCGCCGCACAGAACGCCGCGCTTCGGCCAATTTACAGTTGTTTGCTCTGCTGGCTTTTCCGTGGGAAAAGGGTCAAACCGAACACCAAAATGCCAGTACAGTAACAAACCTCGATCGACATAAACTATGCAGATGACACAAAAGTTCCAGCATCAGATGATCGTGGTCCAGGTGTGTGGCCCTAACCCAACATTGAAAATGGCAGGTTCTTTAAGCCAACCACGCTTGGGGCCGCAGGGATGGCCCGCTAATCAGTGTTGTTGTTTCAGCGAGGTGCCTCTGAAGATCCTGGCTCACAATAATCTGATTGGACGTATCATCGGCAAGGGCGGTAACGTCATCAAAGGCATCATGGAGGAGACCGACACTCGCATCACCGTGTCCCGGTAGGTGGCGGGCTCGGCGTTCCGCGCGCCGACAGGCAGATGAGCCGACAGGCTGATGCGCTTCCTCTCGTCTCTGCGGCCACTTCCGATTAAACGCAGTGGAATGCGATTCAACTGAAAGATTAGTGCATCCGCTTGTGTTGATTGGTGCGCGCCGTTTGGATTGATTTTTGTGCGCCTTTTGTCGCCTAGCATCATGCTATTAGTATTATTTGTTGTATTGTTGTAAACAATGAGGATGAGGACGGAACAGAAATATTGCGCATATTTTCGCCACAGGTACCATCAGAATACGTAGCTATCGATATAAAAAACCGGGAGCCATGCACTTGATATAGCCGCTTTTCATACGATTTCAAATTGCAAATGCTCTCTGATTCAGCGTCTGACATAACGTAACGTTGCCTTTCCCGGCCTTTTCACGGGAGGGTTTTGCTGCCATATGCAGGTTCACCCTTCTTAACTGGTGAACAGCTAGTTTTTATGCTAGGCGGGTGAAAGAATCGGACATATGGCGTCCCTTCTCTGTAAAACTTGTGCTGAAAGTGAACAGGTGGGGTCGCGACGGAAAGCACTCTTCTGCTGTTGCCATGGGTTGTCTGCCCCCTGACCTATCGTTGCTCTGCTTGACTTCTGCATGAGCGGGAGATGAGGAGTAGTTACCAGGCAGGCTCCGCCGTACATGGCACCACTGGAGAAGACGCGCCACGTGCTGAGACTGACCGTCCTTAACGCTCTCACCGTGTACCTGCGGGTTTTGTGCCGGAGGCAAGAGTACCTTGAAAAAGGAGGAACGGTGCTTGATCTAGTATGTGTGCTGTAACGTCAGAGCCAGCTGGCTCACGTACAGTGTTTCGGCCAGTAGAACCCGATGGCCTTCGCTGTTCCCCCTGCCTCTCTGTTCCTCGTCGAAAGAGAGGTAGTGACGCTTCCACGTGCGCCATGTTTGGCTGATCAGTGTTCACAGAAGCCCGAGGCGTCATCGATGGTTGACGGTGTAGTTATAAGATACCTAAATTTCTGTCCTGAGTACTCGAATATCAGATGTTCAGAAAAGTTGGGGCAGTTTTGCTGCCGGACGGGATGGCGTCGTGGGAAAAAACGTTAAGCTAATTGTTTTAAGTGTTACGTGATAACCGTTATGTCCGCTCTATTGTATTCGCTGCGCATGTCAGAAAGTTGCGGGGTGGATTGCGTGCTGCCATGACATGTTTGATTCTGTGCCTGGCGCACCACTGCATTGTGCATTCACGCTGGTACCTGCGACACCGTCAGCACCATCGGTCGTGTTGCTTCGGTTCAGGTATTTCAACGCAGAACGAACTGGATCGTTTACGGTCATGGTTATCCAGTGCCTGTGTACAAACTTAGTCACCGCTGGGGCAGATCTTCGAGCGGCGCGCCGCCTCGACCCCATGCTCTGCCGACCAGCCCCTCCACGCACGTGTACCACGCCTCCTTTACGTCCACTCTCTGCAGCGCCACGGATGTGAACAGCTTCAACCTGGACCGCACCATCACCATCAAGGGCTGCCCGGAGGGTATCTGCGAGGCGGAGCGGATGGTGATGGCGCGCCTGCGCCAGAGCTACGAGAACGACATGCACTCGGCGGCGCCGCACGTGCCGCTGTACGCTGACGTGGGCCGGCTGATGGCCGGGCCGGCCGGCGGCTACGGCCGCGGCGAGCCCGGCCTCTACGGCGCCGGCCCGGCCGGCTACGGCCCCATGTACCCGTCGCCGGCCGGCATGCCTGCTCTGCACGGCCAACCGGAGACGGTGTACGTGTACGTGCCGAGCGCGGCCGTGGGAGCCATCATCGGCCGCAAGGGTAGCCACATCCGCAGCATGATCCGCTTTTCGGCCGCCTCCGTCAAAATCGGCCAGCAGGAGGAGGAGCCGCTGGGCGGCGGCGGTGGCGCCGGAGGAGGCGGCGGCGGCGGCGGTGCCGGAGGAGGTGATGGCGGCGGCGCCGGAGGAGACGGCAGTGGTGGCGCCGGAGGAGACAGCAGCGGCAGTGCGGGAGGAGCAGGAGGGAGCGGCGACAGCGTTGGCGGTATTGGCGACAGCGCCGCCGGCAGCGGCGGTGGCAGCGGGGACAGCGCCGGCGGCGGCGGTGACAGTGGTGGAGGAGGGGCCGAAGAAGACGAGGGCACGGCAGAGTCGGCCGGCTCGGCCGAGCCGCCGCCACCCACGGAGCGACCTGCTGAGCGGAAGGTGGCCATCTACGGCACGCCTGAGGCCCAGTGGAAGGTGAGGGACTGGCAGCACCGGTAGAGGTCGGGAGTGGAGCGGGTGCTCTTGCAAACTGTAGTGTGTATTGTTTCTGTCTAGTCTCGGATTGTACTACTTTGGAATGGCACAGAAACGATGTAAATGTATGTTGCAATTTGTTTTCGAGCTGTCCCGACAAACAGCTGTTGTGCATCATCCAGTGTTCATCGCAATTATCACTGGAACAAGATGATCGATCCTACTGTTAAACTCTAATTGGCCCGCTTTCAGTAACTGGGAGCTTTTCCCACGTTTCCCAAACAAATTGCTTCACAGTGTGATACTTAAGACTTCTGGCGAGGCGTCCATATCCTGCCGCCTCCTGCCGTATCTGTGTATCCCACCGGTTTGGTGTGCAGCCAGGTCGCGTGTTTTTGATCCGCTACATGCTCTCAAGTGGCTGCTGTGTAAAAAGCACGCTGTCCCAAAGTGCATGGGTGATCAAACTTTGAATTTTGGAGGAGACGGATTTCCAATTTGGAGTCCATTGCTCCAAAATGAGATGTTTCCATTCCACTTCCCATGATATTAGTGACGATCTTGTTACTCCAGCATTTCATCCGCACTTGATCAGTTTCTTTTGAGTACCAGGGCCTCCTCGCTTGGCTGATTGTTGGAATAGACTAACCTAAAACACCATTTTCACGGGTCCACTCATGCTGCCCTGCCGATGGTTCCGGTGTGTCTGATGCTGGGGGCTGGCGCGTGCAGTGCTGTGTCCTTTCAGACAGGTCACCTGTGTGATAATCCCATAACTGTGCAGCTGTATCAGTGTCAGCACGCCTTGTCTTCGCGTGGCCGTGCTTCCGTGTCAGCCCTGCCCTTGTCTGACCGTGCTGCTGTGCCAGCCCGCACCAGCTGTCAGTTCTGCCCCCGCCTGACTGTGCTGCTGTGTCAGCCCTGCCCTTGTCTGACCGTGCTGCTGTGCCAGCCCGCACCAACTGTCAGCCCTGCCCCCGCCTGACCGTGCTGCTGTATCAGCCCCGCCCTTGTCTGACCGTACTGCTGTGCCAGCCCGCACCGGCTGTCAGCCCTGCCCCCGCCTGATCGTGCTGTTTTGTCAGCCCGCACCGGCTGTTAGCCCTGCCCCGCCTGACCGTGCTGCTGTGTCAGCCCTGCCCCAGTCTGACCGTGCTGCTGTGCCAGCCCGCACTGGCTGTCAGCCCTGCCCCCGCCTGACCGTGCTGCTGTGTCAGCCCTGCTCCCGCCTGACGGTGCTACTGCGCCAGCCCGCACCGGCTGTCAGCCCTGCCCCGCCTGACCTTGCTGCTGTGTCAGCCCTGCACTTGTCTGACCGTACTGCTGTGCCAGCCCGCACCGGCTGTCAGCCCTGCCCCCGCCTGACTGTGCTGCTGTGCCAGTCCGCACCGGCTGTCAGCCTTGCCCCCGCCTGACCGTGCTGCCGTGCCAGTCCCGCCCTTGTCTGACCGTGCTGTTGTACCAGCCCGCACCGGCTGTCAGCCGTGTCCCCGCCTGACCGTCGCCGTCCGTCACAGGCGCAGTACATGATCTTCGACAAGCTGCGGGAAGAGGGCTACGGCACGGGACTGGACGACGTGCGTCTCTCCATCGAGATCGCCGTGCCCAGCTCGCAGGTGGGCCGCATCATCGGCAAGAAGGGCCAGAACGTGCGCGAGCTGCAGCGCACCACCGGCACCGTGATTAAGCTGCCGCAGCCGCCAGAAGACGGCGTCGCGCCCACCGAAACAGCTGTCCACATGATCGGCCCGTTCATCTCCGTCCAGTCGGCGCAGCGGCGCATCCGGGCGCTGGTGGCGCAGGGTGCGCCGCCAGTGCCGCGGCCGCCACGCGGCGACGCCTCGCCGCTGCTCTGAGCGGGGCGGCCGGCCTGGCCGCGGCGGCGGGCGGCGGGCGGCGGGCGGCGGGCGGCGGGCGCGGTGCCGCCCGGCCATGACGACATTCTCAGGGTGCTGATTGTCCTTACGGAGTGCGCGTCGAGAGCAAGAGGTTTGCCTGGGACCAGCGCCGAGGCGGCCGGCGGCCAGGGCGCGGCGCTGCCGGCCGGCCGCCAACGAGACTGACGGCGCGGCGGCTACCCGCGCTGACGGATTCAGATGGACACAAACTGAATTGGAGGAGGTACGAGGGGGTAGCGAGGGAAACGGATAAAGGGATGGAGCGAGAGAGGAAGAGAGTGAGTGAGCGGAAGAGCGAAAGAGAGATAGAGAAGGGTGATGGAGGTAGGGAGATTGGATCAAGTGTACACAAGAGAAAGACTTGAGTGACCGACTGAAGCGATTCACAAGGCAGCGAGTTTGAATGTAGGCGGGCACGCAGATGGCGAACAGCGTGTGTGCAAGAAGGGCGCGAAGAGCCGAAGACGCGAGAGCGCCAAACTGAGGGGAGAGTGGCCCGGTGAAAAGCCGGGGTCTTCTCCGACTCGTGCGTGCATAGCTTATTTTTGTATGTGCTAGCGAAGGTATCCTTCAGTTTTGCGCGCGAGCCGCCAGACGAGTTGGCTTGTTGTCTGCAAAAGGCCAGCCGGCTGGTGTTTTGGGCCAGGCGGCGGCCGGGACGGCGGCTAGACCCATCCGCGCTGCCAGGCGTGGTGGTCGCACGAAGGCAGGAGAGGAGAACTGCCGGGTGGAGCCGAAGACGCAAGGCATCGGATGCCTGGTGGACACGCCCACCCGCACACGGCTGGCCCGTCGCCCTGGTCCTTGTAGACGACCAGCGGCTCGGTCACACCCGCACCGGCGGCGGCCACGCGGCGGCCGCCGCCGCCGCCGGAGCCCACCCATCGGATCTCGTTTCCATCCTGGATGAAATCGAGGCGGCAGCGGCGTGGTCGACGCGCTGAAGACGACGTGGCCACCGAACCTGATCCATGGGCCTCGGGCACGTTGAGAAGCAAGAACTGACTGACAGACCCCCCAACTGAGACGATGATGTGCGAAAGATGAGAAACGCCCAGACCGCATTGCCGGCCAAGATAGCGATATCTTTGCGCGTATCCCCGGCCGCCCGTACACCGACCGGCTGTACCCACTAAACTGTACCGTAGAACGTCTGTACAAACCTGTGTATCCGTAACTAGCCGCTTGCGTGTGGTTCCTCTGGCACGCCGGTGGGGCCGTCCCGCCGCGGCGTGGCGGCTACCGAGTCGGCGCCGCCCGCCCACAGGCCGGTGGAGGCCTCGTCGGCGCCGCCCCGCTTCCTCCTCTATACATGGTGTGCGTTTCTTCGGCGCTCGCGTCGGCCGACCGCGGCCGTCAGTGCGTGACAGAGTACAAACGTGCGGTCCGGCGGCCGGCCGCCGCGCCGCCCCGGCCGGCCGCCGGCGCCCCACCTCCTCCACCTCGCCAGCCGGACGCGTCCCCACGGAGCCCGCCCGCCAGACCTCATTGCTACCTCATTGTGCTGCGGCGCGCCACCACCGTGCGTCGGACGGCGACGGCCCGGGCGTCTCCGTGTCGGCGTGCGGCCAGCGGGACCTTTTGTGTTGCTCACCCGCGGAAGGCCGAGCTGGGCGCCACCGCTCCACGGCCCGTTTATAACTGGACAAATAAAAGTATTATACCTGGCCGACTGTGCCACCTGTGAACTGGACTGCGAGCACAGATGGACGGACTGAAGGCCCGTCGGAGTGTGTGGCGCGGTGCTGACAGTCGCGTAAGAACACAGACGGACGGGTCAAACACCCCATCGGAGTGTGTGGCGCGGTACTGACAGCGGCGTTCCAGCAGCGTGGCTGATGGTGTATTTCCGTTGTCAAATAGCCGCGTCGTGAGCGTCGCTTTGAAGATATCAGCTGGTGAAACCCCACCGCCCGCCAGCCCTCGTGAACAAGGTGTGGGATACAGAGCGGGTGTTGCTGCGAGCGGTCAACTCAAAAGGGAACGACCTTGCGATCCAACAATACTCACAAGACGATAAACTCGGCAACGATCACTGATCGAGCTGACATATCGGTCACCGATGCCCAGCTTCTGGTGAAGCGCGTCGCAGTCGTCGGTCTCCGACAGACTGGCAGTCGTTGGAGGCGCGTTCTTCAGGGGCCAGTGCCCGTCAGCCTGCTTCCGACCGGGCCACGGGCAAATGCGTCAAAACGGTGTGCACAGGTCCCACGCCTTTTACGCGTATGACGTAGTCTCTGTGACGCCACGCACTGCGCCCCAGGGGCGGTGTTTGTGCGTGCGCCAGGGCTGACCGGGCCGATAGGCGCTGTGGTTAGTGAATTGGCCGGCCGCGTAGCATGGCGCGCGCCGTATCCCGTCTGATCCGCCGTAACCGTCAATGTCCGAAGGCCAAGATCCCATAGTCCACTGACGCAATGTTGCCCGCAACGATGCCATTGGGTTTTCAGCGATGGCAGCCAGAGGCTGGGCTTCCTCTTTTTCGGAAACGATACCGTAAGGGCTGGACCTCTTTTTCTGTCAGTTTTTAATGATATGAACGAGTCTCAGCCTGTGAAATACGGTGATATCATCCACCCACAGACACCAGCGCTTCATGCACACAACGCGCCAAAACAAGCATATTGTAATATACGAATGATCGCTCTGCACTGTCACAATTTCTTATGAAAACACTCACACATTACAAAAGAATGGTACACGGAACACATGGGCTATAGACTCGCCGTATGCGGATATCTGGGCGGGGCGTGCTGATCCGCTAAGTTTGGATTGATTCCTGTGCTGTCTCAGCCACAGAGGAGCAGCGTCACTTCACAACTCCGCGCTGAAGACACATGTCGCGTGCTAGTTGCTCCTGTTGCTAGATTTCTTCTAGCAGCTATATTAAAAAAAAGAACGGCCGATGCAATCAAGACTAACCAGGTATGCGTGAATCCACGGCGCCGTGCGACAAAAGCGAACGTCGTGAGCATACTCAAGCCGCGCACGCCCTGACCACTTCTTGCCATTGCGGAGTGGCCGATCCTTCATCCAAAACGGTCATGGAATAAAACACACTTTGAACTTGAAATACTGTGTCGCTTATGTGCCAATGCACATGCAGTTAAGAACAGGTGAAATATCACTTGCTTTCCCGGACGTGTTTGACACGAAACTTAGACACGATTGACCTGTGCACACTTCTGGCGACAACACATGAAACCGCGAGTCACGCGAAAAAATCTCAGCAGGACCCTCTTTCCGGGACCATCTCTCTGAACCCTCTGTCCGGGACCATCTCTCTAAACCCTCTGTCCGGGACCATCTCTCTGAACCCTCTGTCCGGGACCGCCCACTGCCCCTTCTTTGTACGCAACACATCGAGAAACGTGAGACGGTCCGACTTCCTGAGAACACATCTAGACGACACGCGCCGGGCGGGCCGCAAACACGGAATAAGGCATACCGGATTTGATCCGCAGGTCGCCTAATAAATACAACCCCGGCAGGGCTGGGTGACTGATGAGCGAGCGGTGCTAACTGGGGCCGACCGAGCTGTCGCGGTCCGTCTCAGCCGCCGCCGCCGCCCGATTGACGGCCGTCTTCAGCAGACTCGGCTTGCGGACGCGGGCGCGCGGCCAGCCGGTGCGGTTCTTGCGCCGACGCGCCGGCCGACGGCGGCCGCCGCCGCCGCCGCCGCTGCCGCTGCCGACCGACGCCGAGTCAGTGCTGACGCTGCTCGCCTCGTCGGCCGACGACGGCGGCCGGCTGGGCGCGCTCTCGTCGGCCGCGTCGCCGTCGTCGACCGACAGCAGGGCGGCCAGCGCCGAGACCGGTGCGTCGGCCGGCCAGCCGTTCAGCGCGGCCGCCAGCTCTGCCGGCGGCTCGGCGGTCGCCAGCTCGGCGCCCGAGCGACGCCGCAGCCGCTGCGGCTCATCGGCCGCGCCCAGACAGTCCAACGCGCGCTGCAGCTCCTCGGGACTCTCGCCGGCCGGCGGCAGTGGCGGCGGCCGGCCGGGACGACGCGGCGGCACGTTGCCTAGTGGGATAATGCACGGCGGCAGCGGCGGTAATAGGCGGTCGGGCAGGGTGGCCGATCGTAACGGCCGCGGCCGTCCGCCACCCGGCACCAGCTCAGCAGGGAACAGCTCCTCGGTCGGCATCTGGTAAGGCAGTAGCACACCGCCGCCGGCCTCCACGTCCGTTAAGTCCTCTAGCACAAAGTCACCCGCCTCCTGGCGCACAAACGTCCGAAACCACTCCTCCCCGGCCGGCGGTGCCTCAAATGTGAATGTCACGGCGGCGGCGTCGGGCGCCGCCGCCCGCAGCTCGGGCGCCGGCGTCCCGCGCCGCGGCCGACCGCGGACGCGCGCCACCGCCGCCGCCGCCGCCGCCGCCGCCGCCGCCGCCGCCGCCGCCGCCGCTGGCGGCGGCGGCACCTCCGGCTCCAGGTGCGGCGGGCCGTCGCTCTCGCTACCGTCCGCCGGCGACTCTGTAGAGCGGCGGCGCGCACCGGCCGGCTCGGCAGCGCGCGGCCGCGGCCGCTCGGCCTGTCGGCGTCGTCGCTTGGCCGGCGGCCCTGGCTCGTCGCCGTTCGGGAGAAGAAGCGGCGGCTGCGCGGCGGCCGCGGCGCCGCTCAGCCGACACGGTGTGTGGCGTAGCTTGCTCGCCAGGATCTCAGTCTTATGACACTCAGAGTTGAGGTGCAGCTTCTGCGCCTCGTTCAGCCGCCTTTTCTTGTCGCCGAGCGGCGCCATGCCGGCGTCCGGTTCGGCCGTCAGCCCCGGTGGCGAGGCGGGACCTGACGCACCGCCACTCGCCTCCGGGTCCGCCTCACCGTCCAGCGAAGGCGGCTCCGGCGAAGGCTCACCGTTGCCGACGGCCGCGCCTTTGTCCGGCGTCGGCTCTGGAGAGCTCTCAGCGCCTTCTGCTTCGGCCGGCTCGGGGCCGGCGTGTTTTTCCTCTGGCGCAGCGGGCGCCGCACCGTCGCCGTTGGTCTGCAGCGGCGCCGGGCGGGCGTCGGGTGGCTCGAGCGACGCGTCCAGGCTGTTGGGCCGCGGCGGTGGCGAGTACCGGCCGCGCCGCCACAGCGCACCATTCCAGCCGTTCTCCAGCGGCGGCGACTCGGGCCCCGGGCAGGTGTGGCGCCGCTTGCGCCGCGCGCGTGCCTCGGAGGCCAGCTCCTCCGAGCCGATCGCGTCCTCCGCGCTTCCCGCGCCGTCCAGCGCCAGCTGTGAAAAAAAGGCACAAAGTGGACCTCATCACAGCCGGAGCAGTTGAGTCACACTGGCCACATCGGATGTACATCGGGAACGTAACCGGTGACAGCACTGCACACACGACAACTGGCAGCTGCTATCCAAACCGCAACTAAACATGACTGTCAGTTAATAGTTATATGACGGGCTATAAAAATATAATTAAACACCTTAAAAAATTAACCACGCTCACTTCAAAAATACAAGAATAAGCCTGCTCTATCCTCCAGTTCAGTCCCAAAGTTAATGCCAACAGCCTCCAAGTTGAAATTCACACATATGGAATGACACCGGTCTCCTAAAAAATACGGGAAGATCCACCGGTGATTGCGGCGTAACCGATGTACATGGCGCACTGACGTGGTGCGCCTGTGCTCAACTATATTCAGCAGCTTCCAGCCCAGCTCCTCCGCACGGGGAGAGACGTGGGATAGATCATATTTATGTCCCTGCATGAGTGCTTCTTCGACATCGGTATATAGGTTTTCGCCAAGAGCATACCAAACAGATACACAGTTCGCCGCGAGGGGTAGGCCTAGCACCTTCGCGACCTTTACTAGTACATCGTGACATAGGATGTCCATATTCTACAAGGCGAACAAAACCCTCATCGACATGTTTTGAAAGTCTGCCAAACGTACTGAAACAAGGAAACCTGGGCACCCACGGCCAAACTCACCTTTTCAAAACAATAAACTGCAGTAACTTTCGTATGATCCGCCGTGGAATCGCCCGAACCAGATATCTCACCCGCCCGGCCCGTTTGCCACACCTCTGACGCTTAGATGATGGGTTGACCGCCGTCCAGCTCGATGCTGATTGGGCCGATGCAATGAGCAAGGGGAAGGAAACAGGCAGTGAGCCCCAAGCCAGGGGTGTAATAGCATGAAAAAAATGTCGACATCTCTGCCGGCCGAATAATGAAACATTGAAAAGGTTGAATGAAAACAGTAAAACGACGCACAACAGACAGGGATTAAAGTCGACGAGGATAGTATTCGAATTGGAAAAAGGCAAGGACAAAGACCACAACGCATATAAATCGACAGGGGTAAAAGTGGAATCGAAAAAAGCAGACAGGGGTTAAAGGGCGTGTCACCGTACGTGCTTGCGCAGGACTCTGAACTTAAATAGCTATCTTGACGATCATGCCGTGCAGTTCACAGCCCTGCCCTGCTTAACACCTAAACTCCTTCCAATTTCTGAGGCACATGCCCGCGAAGATACGCAGACTATTCCGTGCAGATTATTTTACGGTCAGCCACAACGCAACAATAACGTCATTCAAATCCTGTCACTCAATTAGCCATGCGGCGATCAAGGCCAAAAATTATCACTGTCAAGTCGTTCATATTTGGTTTTTGTGAGCCCGATTTTCAGATATAACGGCCGTCAATTGGATATCAATAAATGTCGTGCAAGGTACCATGGCGCAACGAAACAATGACGAATTAAGGAGCATATTTACTAAGTACAGAAATTATTTTGTCTACAGCAGTCCTTTCCAGTTCAAACTATAACAATGGTTATAAGTAAGCTTATTTCATCACACATGATTCTTGCTTAAACATCTCTAAATGTGGAACATTTCCTTACTGCTGGGAACCAAGAACTATGGTCTGATGTTTTTTTTAAAGAAACTGGCACGGACCCCGAAAAAGCGTTTGGTGTTTGTGGAAAGCCGGTGGAAACCAGGCAAAGGCGTAGGAACTATCGCAATACTTGGGGCGGGGACGGCTCCGGACCCCGCCATACCAACGCACACCCACGCACACACATACACATTGGGCAACGTGGAGCACTAGGCTTACGGCAGTGAATGAAAAACGACTCCATCGTGTCTATGAGAATAGGTAAGATAGTAGTAATAGCCTTATTCCTCACTTCTGTCTTATCCATGTGCATGACGTCCCTCGCAAATGCACTCAACAACTTACGTGTCTCCGGGACCCTCAATCTTGGACGACTTCCCCTGATCATGGCACCATGAACTAGGTTGTGGTGTTTGTGAAGGAACTAGTGGGATACAGGAACTTATATATTTATTTGCAAAAGAGCCAATGAAGACCGCGAACCAGGATGCAGTGCTTGCCAAACAACCAATGGGATTCAGGAACCAGGAGGAAGGGTTAAAAAAGAAAAAGTCGAAAAGAAAGATCCAAAATCTCGTTTCCAGAAGAAAGTGAGGACCAGGGACCAACATTGGGATGCAGGAAGCAGGCACGTGTCTGTCCAGCACCAGGACTAACAAAACAGCGGGATTCCTGCCGGGAGTCGCATCTGAGGGCCGCCTCCTGCCGTGACCGCCTGTGTTATAGGTGTTCAATCCCCAAATTAGCTAGGGGCAGTCATTATGGGCATAGACAGAGGCTATCACTGTAATCATAGCTGGTTGCTCCCCTCCCCCCCACACATGGCAATCATAACAATGTCTTGAAGGGAAACTCAAACATGGAGAATCTAGCAGATTTGCTGGTCATTACCACAAGTATTATAAAAGCAATTACGAAATGACTTGCAAGACACATATTGAGCCTGATAATTTTTTGCATTTATTACCTTATTAGGTTGCATTTCATATTGCTTGAAATCATTCTATAATTCATGTTGTGGACATTTACCATAGTCTAACAGCAAGTTGTGACTCAAAAAGTCTCTGATAATAGCACTCACCTCCATGCAGGCTTTGGAGTTGCTAGAAGCCAAGGTTTCACTTGACATGAACATTCCTACAGCCAAACTGTCATGAGAAGCTGCAGTCATAGCATTGACTTCGCACCAGCTTTCATGCAGCCCCATTCAGAGGTCATTCAGGCACAATCAGGAGCACAGCAGCCGTGCTCCGGCCAGTGCCGAACAGAAGCGCTGCGGAATAGAAGGGGAAAGTTACAATAGCAATTTCCAATAAAAGGTGCGATGTAATTACAACACCATCTTTAAAATAACCCCAAACTGACAAAAAACCACCTACCTCACCTTGCCTACTTGAAAAACTTATCAATGTTTCCAACAAACATGTAAATATGTTCTGCCAAAGGTACTAGGCTTGTTGATAATTTATAGTGTTCCCATTTTATACTTGCTAAACACGTGTGGTACATGCCACATTAAGGCCCACAATTCCCCAGGATAGACAAACGCTCACCATAGGAAAACACAAACAACAATATTTCACAACGCATCATTCAACTTTTGAGCCAAAGTTCACATATGAATGTGCAATCAACAACATTCTCCCATCATGTTAGAGAATAGAAGTCACATGATAGTTGTATGACAGCACAAAGAGGGCCTAAGTACATAACTGTTTATATATGCAAAAGCAGACCATAGGTAGACCATACCCCTTAAATAATTGGAATGTGGCACTCTATGTCACAGTTGAAACCTGTTTGTAGCAGCCTGAAAGAGATTTCATAGTTCATGAGATTTCATGAATGTACTCATGTTCATGTTCATGAGATGAGAATGTTCATGAGATTTCATAATGGTGGTTTATTCAACAGGGTACTGCTTTCTAAGAAATACTGTTATCTTCTGTTTTTGTATTGACCGCTGTGTAAGAAAATGTATGTGGAACATATGAGAATAATGTAATGGCATTTTTGATAAATATTTGTCTTATTTTAATGCATTGTATTAAGTTGGTTTCAAAATTGGTGAAAACCAATTTTGGATCTAATTTTGGAAAACCAATTTTGGAAAACCAATTTTGGATCTGGAAAAAGTAAAAGCAGGGACTGTTACTTGAAGACCTAAAATAATTACAAAGATTGGGCAGTTATGCACATGGTATTGTCATAAATAAATATATAAAATCAAAGAAAAACAATTGCTACCAAGAACCAATCATTATTGCATGCATGATATTAATTGCCTCACAAAAAAAAATGAAGGCTCCATAGCAAGTAACACCATATTTCCAACTTTTTGAACACTTTTACTTTTATGACCTAGAAAACATCTAAAATAAAAATAGCATATTACACATGTTGCTCAGCAACTCACATCAGACCATTATGACCTTGAAAAGGTTATCTCCTAAATGTCTTACACACAGACTTCATCAGAATCACTTCAAACAATGGATTACATGCTGTGTCAGAGCTGGGCTGGGTTATAAATCTGAGCCAAGTACCTTGGGGTCTTGGCTGAACTTACAGTGAGTGTTCAACACTTGCATGGGCTTTTGAACTGAAATAGCTAACTTGAAGATCATTTGGCGCAGTTTGCAGCCCCGTCCTTTTTAAGACCTAGCAAACCCCTTAACTTGGAAGCTACATGCCTGCAACCATGTGTAAACAATTTTGTGAGGACTATGTAAAAGTCACCTGAGCATCTGTGAGACAATGATAATGTTATTCAAATCCCATCTTTTGGCAATGTAGCAATAAAGACCAAGACAAATATGATCATTGGTTCATTCATAATTCATGTTTCTGAGCATGACTTCCAGATACAACTCTCTATTGGCTATCAATCAATGCTCAATGCTAATGCAATCAATGCTATCAAGTAATGCAAGGTATGATCTTGAAATTAAATAGCACTGTATTGAGAAGCATGTTTACTAAACAGAGCAATAGCATTTTCCAGAGCAGTGTTTTCCCCTATAAAGTATGCTTACAGTTATAAGTTAGCTTGTTTCACAATATATGATGGTTGCTTTTTTTGTTGTTTATTGGAGTTTACGGTGCCCAACTGCGGTGGTCATTCGGCGCCCAATATGATGTTTGCCTAAAATTCTTCAGATGCGGAACATTCCCCTTGAATACCTATGTTGTGAGTAAGCATCAGAGCTAATTCTCCTGAAGGGAATCAGGCATAACTAGGATAATGGGAAGCACACAAGTTAGCATGGAAAACAGATCACACAGTTTGTGTTATTGTGGATGCACCAGGTTGATCCCTAGATCCAGGTAATTCAACAAACCATGGCATGCCTTGGCAAGAGATTTTCTTTGCTGCAATGTGCTTGAGCTCTGACAGCCTTAAAGATTAAATGAATTTAACCTGTGGTAGTATAGAATTAGGTTTCAACATCATGCCGAATATCATGCCATACATATAAGGATTCTCATGTATTACAAAATGTGTGTTTATGTCTAACATGAATTGGCATTCACACTGGTCATGAGTACATGCATATTCACATTAGTTGCTTGCACATGGGAGCACCATTTTACTTGCACGAAATCATTTCACCCTACAGCACCTCAAACAAGCACCAACATATGTTGATAGTCCTTATTTATACAGTGTTAAATCCCTCCTGATAAAAATGAGACATGAGCCTAGTATAATGTCAGGCATTACAAACATCTCATATGGAGTAATTACTGAAATCTATTTAGACTATAGTTAAAATCACACCAAGGCATATGCAGCAAGCCTGCCAAAAATGCATCCACTGTGCCACACACCTAGATGATATGAACATACTGAACCTGACGCATGCTTGCTTTAACTCAAACCAAGCCAAATCATGCTGAATTTGTAACTTTCAAATAATGAAAAATGCTTGGGAGTTACTGATTAAAAATACCTCAGCAACATTTTCATTACTTGGAAAATTGACTCTCTGTGCTAAATTGACAGCAACCATGTGTTGAGCCCAAGACTGGCAGATAAGTGGTGTGCATGTTCCAAAATGCATGGATGTCTCTTTCGTCCTAAACATATCTAGTCATGTATCCTTGGCTGTACAGGTGGCAACAACCCGTGGCCACCCATGAGTCTGTAAATGTAGCCTAGTGCAGCTTAAGAACATTCAAATGGTAGGATGCCATCAGGTACATAGACACTGCAGGATTGACAGGTGTCCGGTGTTCGAAGGAAGTGTTTTTTAACATTGTCAAACCAAAATTATCTTACATGATCTACTGTAAAAAATTATTGCCAATTATTAAGACTCCGACCAAAATATGACGCCCAAGTGTATGTAGTGAACCTGAATTTAGATGCTTGATTTACGGCACCAACCACGTACAATCTAATCTCTCGACATCCGCCCGCAATGGTACAAACCCCGCAGTTTTTCCAAGGCCCTAGCAGTTCTTTCACATAAATTCCTCTCGTGTTCGTCAGCCGGACGGAAGGCAATTATGGCGCAGATGTGATGGCCGCAAAATGTGGTAGCATGGAAATGATACCATATTTACATGCTTTTTCCTATCCCTCTGCGTCTGCTCGTTCCCACTTTTCGTCGTTGGCCCTGGGTACTGTTCGATGTGTCGTAAGCACGATTGTCAGCTGGAATGCGTGACGTCATGCGTGCTGACGGAGCGTTCAGTGTGAGGGCTGACGGGAAGGCCTTTAACTTTGCCTTCTTTTTTCGTGTACATGTGAACTATGCATGCAGGCATGCATGTATTAACTATATGTGTATGCATGTCTGTATTCATTCTACAATCCGTCCATCAAGTGGCTCTTCCGGATTTGGGTTCAGTGCATCATGTCGAAGCAGTATAGAAAAGGTTATTGCCTCATGCCTATACAGTTAGATACGAAATCAAACACACGATTTCTGTCGAAAGTATTAAACAATGTAAGCGACTAAAAACATTACAAATAGGAACGCTCAAAACTACCGCAGGCCTCACACTAACTCTGGCTTACCGCCAACCACCACTCACTACCTTTAAAATGATGTATTAAGTGTGGCTCCTCCTCTGGTATTACCATCGATCCCGTCCGCACGTTGAGCGCCCCGTTCCACTCCCATCTCATTTAAATTTCTTCCCTTCTCATTTTAAACCCTCAGTCAATTTTTGTGCCCAAGTTCTATTGACCCTTCACTGCTACTTGCTACTGGGGTGACCCATCCCTTCACTGAACTCCTACTTGTAATGCAAGGTTCATGTTCGAGGCGCGAGACGCTTCGTTCCTGTTTTCTATATTTTGTCATTTCTCTAACGCTGCTAATTTACTGGGGAGTGCAAGCTTCAACTACGCCAATCACTACCACTCACCTTTTCATGGCTGCTCTTGTATCAGAGAGTTAAATTCCCTCCTTGTCTATCTGACGTCGCATTCCCCAAAATACATTATGCATATGAATATGCATTCAAATGCGTGTACATTACCAAACGCCGCATGGGCTATGCTATTGGGTATAAAGCGGCTATGCGATATTGAGTACCTATAGATGAACAACACACTATCTCTGACCACATGGCACTGGTCACTTAGACCCTGTTGGCACTTTAAATCCGTCAACTTGGATGGCTTATAAATTTGACCTGAGTTGCCCTCCGCTAATCCCTAGGTCAGACTAGGATGGTATTGTCTCTTGGATATGATTTTGTTCCACAGCTACATCTAATGATATAAACGCATTCGGAGAAGCACTCTGTGAAAAAACGAAAGATATCGCTTCTGAAGGCTACTAGAAGACCAACTTCGAACAGTGACCTGACCTGGCCTGACCCTTTTGGGAAAAGAAATAGTCGAAATGGACCATCAACGGCCTCAATTTTTACTTATGTGCCCTCCAAATCCGTGTTAACGTGCTACATGTGTTTTAATTGCATATAACAGAACGTCCTTTTTGCCCTTCGTAACCTGTTGACCTCACGTACGACCTAAAGCCAAAAAAGATTGTGTGCATTATCGTGATTTGGCGAAACCATCAGTATCTTTTTTCTCATACGACTGGAAGTTGGAGAGCCTAGGGGAATGCCAACTGCTGCCCCCCCCCCCACCCCCTACCCCCGGCCGGACACGGTTGTCTCAGACCCCCGGCAGCGCACGGTTGTCTCAGACCCCCGGCCGGGCACGGTTGTCTCAGACCCCCGGCCGGACACGGTTGTCTCAGACCCCCGGCCGGACACGGTTGTCTCAGGCCCTCGGCCGGACGCAGATTAAAAACGCTCTGTGTATCAGCTCCACTGGCCTGGCGTTATGTCTCCTTTGTATTGCACGCTCGTGAAAAATTTCCAACACAGTTCTGGTAAGTGTTTATAAGCTGCGGTCTTGTTTTCAAAAGCCGACCATTTAGTCCATTTAGTAGTACGCTGACGTAGATTACGTAATGTTATTCATTGAACTTTTGCGATCCGTGCGATGTATAACGCCGAACATTGAACCATAGGATGAGACGTAAGACTAAAGCTCCACGACAAACGCCTGCGCAGCCAATTCTGACAAACATTTTTCGCGCACAGCTGGACACACGTAAGACAAAGTTTTCCGAATCGCATGTAAAAAGTATAGAAATGATAGAGATCGACCAACATCCGCTGCCGGGAGAATTTGGACTCTCCTCTGCGACTGGCAGCCGAGTGAGTCATCGGTTGTTTCTCTGGGTGTGTGATGTGGCGGTCGAGCTCGAGAGCTGGGACGAGTAGCCTTGGCATGTCAGCAAAGAGTCAAACTGCGCCAGATAGTGTTCCAACTCCTCCGACTCCACATCACTCAGGGTCGCTACGCTCCTGAAATCGAACAGTCTGTATGAGCACAAAAAGATCGTGAAGACCGTAAAGAAAAAAATATTTCAGTGGCAGCCAATGGTGTTCCTGAAACGCATTTACACTCCTATAGGTCGGTGTTTGCTTTAGTGCACTTTTGCACGTCTGTTCTCAATATTCTGTACAAAAATTACGTTAAAGGATTTCCCATAGAGGAAAGGGATAGCACCATAGAGCCAAAATTATGCTTAACTAAGATAAAGGCACATTACGCCAATCGACCTTGGATAAAAGGATAATGTTCATATCTGCACCTTTAATGCGCTCACCTCACGTCAAATCCAATCAAGTTAGGCATGGAGCCAGTGGTGCCACACTCCATCTCCATGTCGGGCAGCCCATGGTTGCCGTAGTCTGTGAAGAACTTGGTGCAGTCCGAGTCCGAGGAGGAAAGTGACGTAATCGAGAGGGGCAGCGTGGGCGTCAGTGAGTCCTCACAGCAGTCGCCCTCCTGTAGCAGGACTGCGCTGCTACGGCTAACGCTGCCCAGTGTCTCGTCGTCCTCCTCTGCCGTGTCCTCGTCAATGCCCTCGTCCAGCAGCGCGTCGGTATCGACGCTGCTCTGGCCGCGCGGCGTCACCTCGTCCTCCACGTTAAACTCGACGTGGACGTCCTCTCCCAGGACGGCGGTAGGGCTCCGGCTGCCGCTGCCGCTGGCACCGAGAGGCTCCTCAACGGCCTCGGGCCGCTCCCGTGTTGGTGACGGCCGCTCTCGTGTTGGTGACGGCTGCTTCCGGCTCGGCGCGTTCCTGGTCAGGACGGCCTTCGAGGACTTTTTCCTCGACGGTGGACTGCGCGCTGCCGGCGTGGCCTTGGGTTTTGACGGGGGTGGCTGGTTGCGGCTCGTTGAGCGACTGGTTGAGCGTTGTTTAGAGGGACCAGGCATGGGTCGACCGCGAGCCTGGGGCTTGGGCTGGCTTCGCCTCCCTCCACCCGCCACGCGCTGCCCTGAGCGAACAGGAAACATTGAGACTACGCACGAACGGCTGAACTACATGTGCCAGGGCAACGTTAAATCCAAATGTAGGAACAGGTCGCTATCTAAACTCACCAAAAATGCTGACAATTCAGTCAGGCATAAAACAGTATCTTGTATCTAACGTTCCGATGCCAATTAAATATGGCAATGCTCACGACAGTTCATTCGATACATGTCTCACAGTCGTAGGAGAACTATCACCCATTCATTGTCGTACAAAAGCTGCCGCGGCTGCACACAGACCTGAGCGCCATCTGTTGACCATGTACTGCATGCGGAGCATGCCAACCACGGCATAGACGGCGGCGCGGAATTTGCGGATGGGCTGCAATAGGCGGCGGTAGTCGGGCAGGAAGCAGCCGCCCGTCAACTGGACCATCTTCTCCAGCGTCATCGTCTCTGTCTCCTGGTAGCCGCCTAGCAGGATCATGAGGTAACGCTTCTGCCAGCAGAGTGCGCGTCGGTAGCTCTCGGCGCGCAGGTAGCGGCTGTGCGCCTCCTGGACGCGACCATCGTCCCCGGCGCCCTGCAGTGGCAGCACGGCCGGCCGCTCCGAGAGTCGCAGCCGCTCTAGCTCGGCATCCAGCTGCGCGATGTGCGCCTCCAGCAGCGAGCGCTCCTGCCCCCACTGGGCGCGCTCCGACTCCAGCTGCGCCTGCCAGCGGGCGCGGGCCTCCTCGTCACCCGCCGACGGCGCAGGAGGCTGGGGGGCGGGCGCAACCGGGGCCGGAGCGGCGATGGCGGCAACCGGGGCCGGCGCGGCAGGGGCGGGGGGAGCGATGGCGGGAGCGGCGGCGGGGGCAGGAGCGGAGGGAGGTGACACGTCCCGGCCAGCCAGCTCGGTACCCAGCTGAATGATCCGGGTCCGGATCCGCTCGGCGTCCACGTTCGTGTCCACGATGGCGGCGACCTGCGTCACAGAGCGCCCAGAGTCACGTGCCGAGCCGGATCGTCGAACACACGCCACTGAATGTCATTTAGGTGATGAAATCTCGTCTGCTGTAGGATGTTAGTTATGACGATGCATGAAACAAAACGGCGGTCGCAGATTGGTACAGTTCTATCATCTGCCATCGCAGTACTGAACAGTTCTATCATCTGAGATGCTTACTGCGGCACTTCTACAATCGCCTAATGTGAAACTTAGAGGTGACACACAGTTCAGTTTCTTCCCACGAGCTAAGCACCAATCCTAATAAACCCATGTATGGCGGCTCTTCTTTGAACCCAAGTGCACCCGTTATCTAATGCCCCATCCGATCCCATCATGCGATCGCGCCAGGCGTCTGCCTCCCTGGGCCCGCAGGTGTCCGCCGCGGAAGGCGGCGTGCTCGCGCGGCTGACCGTGGTGAGAGCGTCGGCGGCCGAGAGACGCAAGTCTGCCGTCAGCTGGCTGAGCTCAGCCGCCGGCTTCTGCACGTCATCTGCTGCCTTCTGGCGGGCTCCCTGCACCTGCCGCAACTCCTGCAGCAGCCGCTTCACTTGGGCCTCCAGCGGCGCCTGGTCGTCGGTGCCCGCTTCCTGCGCCTCAGCGCACGCCGCATCTGTCTGCACGGCCGCAAGGAGTCAGAGGGGCATTTTGCAGCTGATGAACTGATGTGTGTGTGTGAGTGTGTGTGTTTGTGGAGAGAGGATGAATAAAAGTGTGGACGTCGGAAGTGACTTACTTGGGGGCAAAAAAACGCGGGTTTCATCGAACAAAAAGGTGCTTTCTATGAGTGGAATCAAAAGAGATATGTCAGACCAGGAGATATCTCGCCACGGTCTCAATTAATACTTAAACATGCCAAAAAGAAGTAAGCCCGGCAGGTATTATCGAGGTGGTCTGAATGCCCAGAAATGCGGTGTGGTAGGGGAGCGGCGTACCTGTTTCCTGAGCTTCTCTGAGCGCTGCTCCAGCTCGGAGACACGCTGTCCCAGCTGCTCTGATGTCTTGCCGTCGGCCTGGGCCTGGGCGCGCCCCTGGTCCAGCTCTTGCGACAGCTGACCCGCGCGGCCGCGCTCGCACTCCAGACAAGCCAGCATGTCGCGACAGCGCTGTTGCTCTGCCAGCAGTTCCTCCGCCAGCCGCTTGACGGCGCTCTGGTTGCCCGGGTCGGCACACAGCTCGACAATCTGGTCGCCGGCCCCGTCCAGCTTGGCTAGGCACGTCATCACCCGCGCAAGGTCCTTGCAGCCGGCGTCGGTTGTGCGGATCAGCTCCTGCGATCGACACAAAAACAGTCGGCTTACATCGGTAGAGGTACGACGTTCGACGTGAATGAAGACGAAAGAAGAGTATTATCGAAATGTGTGTTTAAGGAGGCAGCCAAAGCTTCCGAAAACAGTAGTGAAGAATGTCAAGCAGAATGGTGCAGAATCGCACTGGGTACGGAACAAGATATTATGCATATGCTTACGTCACCTCTGATGAGTTAGCACATGCCTTTGTTGTTCTATTATCTTCCGTTGCCAACTGGTGCAATCAGCGCCCTCTGTAGGCCCCCCACTTGCCTGCATTATCTTCTGCTCGCGCTCCACGAGCTGCTGGGTAGCCGTCTTGGCGGCGGCGAACTCGCGGCAGCCGGTGTCCGCGTCTGACCGGGGCTTTGTCGGGCCGCTCGTCGGCACCGCGCAGCCGCCCCTGTAAACTGCGTCAGCTCCGTCTCGAGCGCGCCGCTGGCCGTGCGCGTCTCGCTCAGCCGCTCAGTCAGCGTCAGCTTGGTCTGGTGCTCTGCCTCCAGCGTCGTCTGCAGCTCCTGCACCAGACCTGTCTCCTCCTCGCAGGCTGACGGCAGCTGTTCACTGCGGCAGACCGGGTACAGCACTCCCTCAGACAGACCGGGTACAGCATACCTCAGGCAGACCGGGTACAGCACACCTCAGGCAGACCGCGTACCAGCACACTCAGGCATACCGGTACAGCATACCTCAGGCAGACCGGGTACAGCACACCTCAGGCAGACCGGGTACAGCACACCCCAGGCAGACCGGGTACAGCATACCTCAGGCAGACCGGGTACAGCACACCTCAGGCAGACCGGGTACAGCACTCCTCAGACAGACCGGGTACAGCATACCTTAGGCAGACCGCGTACAGCACACCTCAGGCAGACCGGGTACAGCACTCCTCAGACAGACCGGGTACAGCATACCTCCGGCAGACCGGGTACAGCATACCTCAGGCAGACCGGGTACAGTTCTCCTCAGACAGACCGGGTACAGCATACCTCAGGCAGACCGCGTACAGCACACCTCAGGCAGACCGGGTACAGCACACCTCGGGCATACCGGGTACAGCATACCTCAGGCAGACCGGTACAGCAAGCACCTCAGGCAGACCGGGTACAGCACACCCCAGGCAGACCGGGTACAGCATACCTCAGGCAGACCGGGTACAGCACACCTCAGGCAGACCGGGTGCAGCATATCTCAGGCAGGCCAGGTACAGCACTCCTCAGGCATATCGATACGCAAGCTCACACTTACGGAAGGGCCCTATTTTGCCGTCGATCATGGGCTCACTGATTCAACATTACCCGTGTCGACTCACTGACAAATGAGCTCAGATAGACTTGTTCATGCATTTACATCACACGTAAAATTCGGCTGTGTGTGTTGATTGAACATACATGTGCAATCGAACCGTCATGTCATGCTATTCTATGGAAGATAGCTCCAGCCATACTCATGTCCCGTTTAGTGTGTGTGTGTGCGTGCATTTTGAAACGAGCGGGCCCGCTTCCGAACCAGCTCTCCCTCGATGGCCTCTTCTTGGAACGCACCCTTGGCGTTCATTTCCTGTTCGGCGTTGCCCAGTTCGTCGGCCAACCGTGCCAAGGCCCGCTGCAGGGTGGCCGTGTCCATGTCCGACACATGGACGGCCGCCTCGGCCGGTAGCGCTCGCGGCGTCAGCTGACTCGGCGTGGCGTACGCCTTTACAAAGCGCAGCTCCACTAAGTTGAGCGCCTGCCGGCCGGTGGCATGCTCCCATTAGGCTGAGGTGTCCAGACAAGCGACGGCAAAAAGCGATGCCGTCATAGGTGTCTGGGGTTCGCGGAAAACGTTCGAAGGCTCTCCTGCAGTTCTGTTGAATTCATAGTCTACGTAAGTTGGCAAGTGCATTTGCGAGGAACATTATTGACGCAGAAAAGACAGAAGTAAACTGTCTTACTATGTGAAATGTCTTACTGCTCTCTTATCTATGTGAAATGATAGGCATTTAATTACTGGCATTGTAAGGAAGCACCAACGAATCACACCGCAGCGAGTCTAACACGTATGCGGTAGCAGTCTTGCTCAAAAATGTGTCGACGACGATTTAGTCGAGTGTATAAGATGGTGCTTAGTGTGTATACTATGACGTCGCGCACTTACACACGTATTCGTGATCATGTGAGGTCAGATAAGTGTCATACAAGCGCTGTATGTGAGAGTTTACATTGGAGGGCGATGTAGAATGCGATAGCATAGAAGTACAGTACGCAGCATGTTAGCACTACTAATTAGGTTATCCAAACAGAGCTATCACTTACCGCAACTAATCCACCATCAGTCATGTCAGTTGTATATGTGTATATACAGATATATGAATATGTGTGTGCATCAATATATATATATATATATACATATATATATCAATATATCATTACGGCACATAAAGGCATCCTAAGAAACCTTCTATGGCCCAGCAAGCGGGAAAACCTAAACAGCGTCAACCACAAACCACTGCAATATCAATGTATGTGTACCGCAAGCATAAATTACAATTACATCAATCAAAAGTTATATTGCAGGAGCTGTGTTAGACTCTCTAATTACTTGGAGCATTAACACTTTGCACCTACCGACAGGGGTTAAGTTTCCTATCACGTTGGGAGTTGGGGAGGCTTCCGCCCCCCCCCCCCGCCCCTCCCCCCCTACGTTGGACCTCAGCACCCAACTTGTGCTCCAGCCCCTCCCCTAACTTTGCGAGAAAAGTGGGTCGAATACGAGAAAACTCCGTTTGTTGGCGCACTTTTGGAGCGAGTTGCGCAATTTTTCACTGCTAAGTCTTCCAACTCATTTTGCCTAACTGTAACTCCGCCCACCATTGCAGCAGTCTGTACGGCTCACCTGTAGACCCTGGCCATGCAGCTTGTCCAGCAGCTGCTGCAGCCGGCGGCACAGCTGCGGGTCCAACAGGTCGTCGGCGCTGCTCTCCTCAGTGGCGGATGTGTCATCCTCGGAGGCGGTGACACGCGCCACTGACGTCTTGCGCACCATCTGCACCAGCTGCGTCTCAACCTCTCGGCGCCGCTCCTCCTCCGTCCGCTTCTCCGAGGCTAGCTGGTCCAGTGCCTTCTCCATCGCCCGGGCGCGCTCGTCCGCTTCCTCAGCCTGAGTGTGGTTCAATGTCAGCTTACTCACCGCTCCCCTGCCGCTGAGATGTCGAGAGCTGAGCCACGCTGTAGTTGGATGGCGATCGGATCGAAATAAACTAAACTACGCATTTTAACACATCCTGAAAAGCTTGCACGAATAAACAACCCAAGAATGTTCTGTTAAGCTTGAAGTTTGCATTTATGGATATAAGGAGATCCTCTTTCAGGTCGTGGGTCTTAGTTAATGCTAGGATGCACGCTTGATCTTAATCTCGAAGTTGAATGTAATACGACAGGTTGCAAAATTCATTAGAATTCGCGCTAGTATAGTTGTTACGCCTGTTGTATCTTGCTGCAAACTGATGCACGCTGTTTTGGCTATTGCAATCTGATGTATGTATGTTATTCTACTCTAAGACCCAAGTGCAGAGTGCACCGTGTCACTAAACCTTGAATTCAAATTCAGACGTACCTGTTCTTTCCACTGTTCCTCGGTTTGCTGCCCCTGCTCCAATTCCTCCACCCGATTTCGGAGATGTTGGTTCTCGGCGGCGATGTCGGCCGAGTCGGCTGGCACAACACCATCCTTCAGATCTGCTTCCAGTTGCGCCACACGGTCGCTGAGGAAGACACCGACGTTATTAGCATGTTGATAGCTATGACAGGAGTGAAGTTGATGGCTGCACCACGTCCTAAAGGCAGCAAGTCTAAGTGACCTGTAGCACTGAAACCAAAAATTAGCCGTTAAGTGACTGCGCATTGGTATATAATGACAGCCGACTGCACAAAAAACGTAATGATGAGCAATTTCGTATCTCAGTGGCGTTTGCACCTTACCCCACGAACTTGTCCCTTCCCCAACATCATCACCCCAAATGGCGTTTATCTGCAACTGACAGAGACTCACCTGTACTCCTGCAGCTGCTGCACCAGCTGGTCAACGCGCGCCTCCTTCTCCGTGACGATGGCGGCGCTCTCCTCTAGCTGTCGCGCCAACTGGTCTCGCTCGGCCGCCAGCTGGCCGCACTGCTGCGCCAGTTCCTGCAGCTGCTGGTCACCAGCCGCCTGCAGTCGCTGCGACTCGGCCAGGCGCATCTCAATCTCCTCAGAACGGCCCTGGTACGACTGCGCGGCAGGCGATCAACGATGGCGTCAGCAGGGTGTCATCGGTCACGGCAGGCGATCAACGATGGTGTCAGCAGGGCGTCATCGGTCACGGCAGGCGACCAGCGATGGTGTCAGCGGGATGTTATCTGTCCCGGCAGATGACCAACGAGCATGTCAGTAGGTGTTAAACGTCGCACGGACGCTGGCAGGCTCACTCCCCATGCCAAGACGCCGTCACAGTCCAGTTGACATTCTCACATCATGGGATTCCGACTCCGTGCGAGCCGCGCGGAATGAGAATAGGTGGGTTATTCATGAAACTGAGAGATTCGTGCATTTTGACAGCAGTGAATATTCATATGCTCTTTACACTAGATTAGCGTATCAAACATTACTAGCAGATGTACTGAGTCAGATGCGTGGCATATACGTCAAGGTTATACCTCCAACTTAGCAACATAGCTGTCGATCTCTTTTTTGGCGTCCGCCAATTCCTTTTCGAGCTTGCCCTCAGTTTCTTCGAGCTTGGCAACGGTCTCGGTCGCCGACTGTGGTGCAAAAAACGAGCATCGTTGGTACAAGTGACCAGTCAGATGCTGGGTGCCAGCTCATTCTGTCTCTCAAATACCATGTCCGAATTAAACACGCGCCCGGGCGGCCGGCTGGATACCCTTCGTTCGAGTGGGAGGTCAATTTGACCCCCCCCCCCCTGAGATCTCGGGAACTAAAAGAGCTAGAAACACCAAACTTGCAGTGTGTCGACCTGTATATTAACTCACTTAGGTCAAAGTTTGGGGTTCAGAGGTCATGATATTTGTGTCAAACAAATTCAAACAAGGTCAAACTCCAAGTTAGTCTCCGAAGTGCCCCCAGAACTTAGACATCTGTTTCTAAGCAAAAGGTCACATGCTCAGCTAAGGTCAGTGACCTTTTTTGATCTTTGAAGGTCATGGTGACCAAAATCATACAAGATTGCACTGGGTATTGCCTTTGAATAACCGACAAAGATTACGCCAGGCAGTATGTTCCCATTTTAAAAAATGCTGACCTGGGTTATTTCAGGTCAATGACCTATTTTGACCTCTAAGAAGTTCATGGAAGATGTATAATGCGGTTCCTGCTACCAGCAAATTCAAAATGAGCACCAGAAACTAACCCACACAGCAAGCCCTAAAGTAATAAAGCAGGTTGGTTTTGACCCCCGTCTGAAGCTTATACCTGACCTTAGGTCAACATAATTTTATCATTAAATATTTGTGTTGCCTAAAAGAGTATCTCAGAGATGTATGGCTTCGTCTAACACTCCGCTGTTGCACCAGATTGAACGATTCCCTAGAAACTGACTTCGCTGAAACTATGGCCTGACTTTGACCTGCCGTAGGTCAGCGAACTTACAATGGCTATCTAAATGTTTTATGCCAAGCGATCTGCTATTCAATTGTCTACAGCTATGCAAAAATTGGCGTGGCTGCGCCACGCCGTTCGGAAACTATTCTGGAAAAACCTTTGGGGGGGTCAATTTGACTCCCACTCCCCACCCGAGCGCGTGTTAAGGCGATGCGACAAAGTGATGCATCACCGACTAACAGTTTTCATATGTACCTAGTTTTCCTAGCACCCCTCCCCCAACCCCACCCCCGGCCGACTTTGACGGGTGCCTCCTCCCTAACCGGACCTGGAGTCGCTCGTTTAGGTCGCTCTGCCCGTCGGCACCGCCAGAAGTCAGCAGACCCTCTAGCCTCGAGAGCAGATCCTGGATCTGGCGGTCCTTGCTCTGCGACTCATCCTCCACAGAGTGTAGCCGAGACTCGAGAGAGCGGAGACGCTGCAGCATGTCCTGCAGGCGGGTGGCGCGAGACCGGTCATGAGCTTGGTATGCGTGGTGGTGACGATGGCTAACAGGGAAGTAACCAAAAAGGCACGATTTGAGGGATTTATTCAGTTTCATTCCGACTGTTAGGGACTGGTCCTTGACGGATATTCATGACGGACATGTCATTGTAGACTTCCTACGTCAATACTGAGCCCTGCGATGCTTTTTAATATTTGTTTTGACACCCCTCCCCCCCCCCCCCACGGGTTTTTCTCGTTACATGCACGCAATCACACTACTGCTATGAACATGATAAATGTTTTAGTTTCCCGCACCCTTGCGGGACGGTGTTGACTACATACTTGTTTCCGGGCTCTCCAGGTGCCGCTCGCGCACACGCGGGACTATCCCGATTATTCGGGTCCACTGAATCAGTGGACTGCTTCGGTGACGTGAGTTGAGGCCCTGCCCTTAGGAAAGACCGCCGGACCGAAAGGTCTATTTCAAGGCAGACCACGTCCGTGAACCGACTGCTGTGGGCGCTGGTTGGCCTGGTTGGTCTAAGAGAAGTCTACCGAAGTCATGTTTGATGCGTAGACCTCCCACCTACATTCGCACGCGCATCCACAGACTGCGCCACCGAAGCAGCAGCAGCCCTGTGGCATTACCTCAATGTCGTTGTGTGCCGACTCCACAGACTTAGACTCGCCAGCAAGGGGAGATTCTTGCTGGAAATGGAAAAACCATTAATTTCAGACAGAAACTTCTCGATATGAGTTGGGAACTATCTGAGGACTGCTGGTCACGTTTTAAGATACTAAGCTCACGTTTCGAAGTTATTCAGCGTTGGAGCTTGGGAATATTTCCTCCTCAATAAGCTAGCAATATTCTTGATGACAACATATAATGAAACGTTTTTCATCGCCCACAGCGTCATGAAAAACACCGCTAGGCCAACGATACAACATCTCGCCGATATCCTGAGCCTCCTTTGTAACATTCAGCGTCCTCCCTTCATCCCAACTGTTCTCTAAATGCTCCCCGGTCAGACCAGACAGACGGTTTCGCTCACCTGCTTGCCACCGGTACTGGCGTCGAAGATGCGCTGCAGACTGGCGGCCGTGTAGGGCGATGGTCCGTCGTAGCTGGCCGCGTCCGGCGGCGGCTCGTACCTCCCAGATGACGGCGTGTCCACGCTGCTGCCGCCCGCCGGCGCGAAGTAGTCGCCTGGAGGCTAGCGACCGGGAAGAGACGGTTTGAGTGACGTCTCTGCTGTGAACATTACTGTGTTCGATAAAACAGTAGTTATGGGGTGTCTGTATTAACCCAAAGCAAGGAGATACGCACTGTGCGGACAGAAATACAATAGTTGAGGACACATTTCATTGTGTCGTGTACTTCCCCGCGACGTCATCGCGTCGAGTAGGCCGTGCGCCGCCCAGCGTCATAGAATACGATAGCGTGATGAAGCTGACCCACCTCTGACGGCTGTGTCTTGTCCGAGTCTGAGCGGCGAGATCTGTCGGATGTGGGCGTTGGAACGCTACTCTGCAATGACACCACGCGGCTATGTCACTGGAGGGCTTCGCCACAATCAGCTTCGCCACAGTCGCCGTACATTCTAGCCACAGTGTTCTGAATAATAATATGTTCGCGATGATACCTGCATGTATTTACGTACGTTGACGAAACCTTCGCAGTATGCAGTTTGTGCTTAATCTAAAGCGGCGTCAGAGAATACCTGAGCCTTTAGCTGGAAGCACTTACCACGTCATCCATGTCCACGAGCGGTGGCTCCTGGTAATCTACGAACTGCGCGGTCTGCGGACTTCTGTACGGAACTGGTGCCTGTAAAAGGGCTGGTATGTTTATGAGGTTGTTTTACATTTGTGTGCGGGGGGGGGGGGGTAGCAGAAATATCCACTGTCATGATCATGCCCCACAGTTTACAGTCATATCTTTTTTAAAGTTTCAAATCCTTTTGTTTCTGATCTCTTGTTTTGCACAGCTTATGAGAGTACACCCGCGACATGTATGACGTAATAATACATCACACGAGCACTCCACCTTATTGGCTGTGTTACGTTCATAACGAAGAAAAGTATAGCAGGGGTGCGGTTTGCTACTCAGTGGGGAAGAGGCTAAAGCTAAACCCCCCCCCCCCCCCTCCCCACGCACAAACACTTGGCTTTAGCTCTATTCACTGATGCTTTGGATCAAAAAGCTTTCAGGTTATGCGTCGCCTTTTCACGGTTTTGTTTTCCTCGGGGATCTATTGTCTCGTAAATGTCACTGTCTACATTTCTGCTCCCAAGTATGCACTGAATGGGACGGATGTGTGCTATCTTCCGCTACATGATGGTCCGTTCTTCACAAATCTGACGGCGTTGAAATGTGCCTTTAAAATATCGGCATAAATCATATGTATACTACAGAGACTTAAAAGCTTGCTCCATTGTTCGTTTATAACATACGATGTGTTAAAAGAGAACCTTGAAGAACCCCATGTTTGACCTCACAGAAGACAAAGCGTGACTTAGGAACACTAAGTTGTGTTCAGAGAGCGACTTTGTGTCAGCAATCAAGGACTCCCAGACGTTTTCAGAGCCTATCCACGTATCAGCTATGGCTGGCAAGCCTCAGCTCTCCCCGCGGGACCTCATAAGTAGGTGGCTGCTCACCCGGTGCATCCAGGGCAGGTAGCACTGCTGGTCACCGGATCGGACTGAGCGCGTGACGTGCAGGCTCGAGGAGGAAAGGGCCAGATTGGGCGGGCTCGGTGCCGTTGTGCACATCTCTTCCATCGAGTAGAAGCGGTTCCGTGGCACTCGCACGGCCGGCGCCGACTCGGACGGCCGACGCCGCTGCCGGCTGGCGCTGTCCTCCGACTCGGAGCTGCTCGTCAGCTTCTCCAGGAAGGCGGGCAGGTTCGGTGACGGCGTGAGCGTGCGCTGCTCGCCGACGGTCGGGTGCGGACTGCCCGCCTCGAAGATGCGCTCCAGACTGCGGCTTGTGTCTGGACTGGGGCCGTCAAAGTTCTCGGCCGACTCAGCGGCGGCGGCAGCGGCCGGTTGCGCCGCGTCGGCGCTGACGTCAGTGGCGAACACCCGCTGGAAGCCGTAGATACCCTGTGCCGGCTCGTAGTCGCCGCCGTCGCGTGGAATCACGTCCAGACGAGGAGACGGGTCGCCGGAGGAGACAGCCTGGCTGCCGAGGTCCTGCGAGCTGCGCGGTGACGCGATGGAGGCGTGCTCGTGGCCGTACCACATTTGCGGCGGCTCGTACCCCTGCGGGTAACGCTGGAAGCCGTACTCACCCTGAGCCGGCTCGTGGCCCTCCCCGTCTGACCCTGACGGTGGCTTGCCGTGGGGTGCGTGCGGAGTGCCCTCTTGGAGGGGCGTTGCTAGCGCGCCTTCCGGTGCCAGCTTCTCCTTGGAGGAGGGCGTTGGTGGAGTGGGCGGCCACCCCTTCACACTGTCCCAGACCAGGCCTTGTGTGTATGGGCTGAGTGGAACGGGCGCGGTCCGGCCTGGACCGGTGCCCTCAGACGGCCGGACATCCTCCAGAGAGCTGGGCGTCTCGGGAGTTGGCGGCCACCTCTTGACCTCGTCCCAGTTGAGGCCTTCCATGTACTGCCCCCTGCGTGCCGGCGACACATGATGACCGCCCTCCCCGGCCGACGTCACATCCTCCTCGGAGCGCGGCGTCGGCGGCGTCGGCGGCCAAGAGTCGGGGCAGGCGAAGGCACACAGTCCCTGCGTGTAGGTGCCGTCCGGCTCGGGCAGGTACTCGACTGAGCCTCGGCTGGGCGGACCCAGCGGTGGCTGGAAGCCGTACATGCCGGCTGCCGGCACGTACTCGGCGCTCCGGCTGGCTTGCGGAGTCGCTACCGAGCCGATCGACGTCTCCGACCAGGTGCCCAGGTCCTGGCAGGTGGCCGCGAGGTTATCGTCGTCAGCTTCTGCGGTTGAGCATCTGTCGGGCGTCATGAGCACCGCCTCCCGGTCGCTGCGCAAAGCCGAATGCTGGGGTCGGACCTGGCCGCTGTGCGGGGTGCCGGACTCGAAGATCTGTGCCAGCGTGCGGGTCGTGTCGGGACTGATGCTTTCGTATCGTCTTCGTCTTCGGCCACGGGAACCGGCGCTGGAGCGGATAGGGCACTCGTGGCTTGTCTGCTGCGTTCCCCTGGCTGCGAAAGTGAAGCTCTGTCGTGGCCGTACCACATTTGTGCCTGTTCATACCCCTGCGGGTACCGCTGGTAACCGTACTCACCTGGGCGGGTTCGTACCCCTCGGCGTCATCCTGGCCTCCTCCGGGTGGGACCTCCCGCGGGAGGGCCTCTACCGGGGCGGTCCCTCCTCCGGGTGGTCCTCCTCCTGGTCCATCATCGGGAACCTCGCCCGGGACAGGATATGGAGTGCCGTCCTGAAATATGCGAGCCAAGGTCTTGGTGGTGTCCGGGCTCACAAAGTCGTAATTTTTCGGCTTCGGGCAGGACAGCAAGACCTTGTCCCTGTGTTTGTGCCTGGTCGACTTCTTGCTGTGACGGAAGTGAGGCTTTATCATGGCCGTACCACATCTGCGGTGGCTCGTACCCCTGCGGGTACCGCTGATA